TGGCTGCAACAGCACAGAATACGCCTTCTGGAGTGGCCCAGTCAGAGTCCTGACCTCAACCCGATTGAAATGCTGTGGCATGACCTTAAGAGAGCGATTCACACCAGACATCCCAAGAATATTGCTACACTGAAACAGTTTTGTGAAGAGGAGTGGTCCAAAATGACTCCAGATCGTTGTGCAGGTCTGATCTACAACTACAGGAAACGTTTGGTTGAGGTTATTGCTGCCAATGGAGGGTCAACCAGTTATTAAGTCCAAAGGTTCACATACTTTTTCCTCCCTGCACTGTGAATGTTTACATGTTATGTGTAATTAAACCATGGCAACATCTAATGTTTGTGTAGTATTATGTTCAGCAGACTGTGTTCTTCTATTGTTGTGACTTAGATGACGTTCAGAGCACGTTTTATGCCCAATTCATGCAAAACTCCACGTAATCCCAAGGGGTTCACATACTTTTTCTTGCAACTGTAAATAGGAAAGGTGGTGGTGTCTGTCTCTATGTGAGAAGTGATCTCAGAGCGAGCGAGTGTGAAAGAGGACCTAGTTGATGGAGAGTGTGATGAGGCTGAAGTATTATGGGTGGAACTGCACATGGGGGTGCGTACTACAAAGGTAATCATTGGAGTTTTTTTATAGGCCTCCCAGTGTTAATGAGGAGGAGGAGACTCAGCTCCTCGCACAGATCGAAAGGGCTGTAAGGGCTGGGACAGTGATAATAATGGGGTAAGAACGGGTAAGCTGCCACCACCGATCCCCACAGACCTGCCAGCCTCCGCAGGGCCCTCCCCACTAGCCCTGTGTCCATTCCTGACCACCAGGAACCAGCTCAGGCCCACTGATCGCTGCTCCGCTGCCCAACCCATACATTGGTTCTGGGCCCACCCCTGGACACCCTGCACCCAGCTACCAGGCACCCAGCTACCACCCCTGGACACCCAGCACCCAGCTACCGGGCACCCAGCTACCACCCCTGGACACCCAGCTACCGGGCACCCTGCTACCACCCCTGGACACCCAGCTACCGGGCACCCAGCTACCACCCCTGGACACCCAGCACCCAGCTACCGGGCACCCAGCTACCACCTCTGGACACCCAACTCTCGGACCACCCAGCGAATCAAGACGTCGCCCAGCGAATCTCCAGGACCACCCGCTCTCTTAAGATCATGCCACAGCATTTTTATCGGGTTGAGGTCAGGACTCTGACTGGGCCACTCCAGAAGGCGTATTCTGTGCTGTTGCAGCCATTGTTTTGTTGAATTACTTGTATGCTTTGGGTCATTGTCCTGTTGCATCACCCATCCTCTGCGGAGCTTCAGTTGGCAGACAGATGGTCGTACGTTTTCCTGCAAAATGTCTTGATAAACTCTGGAATTCATTTTCCCATCAATGACAACAATCCGTCCAGGCCCTGAGGCAGCAAAGCAGCCCCAAACCATGATGCTCCCTCCGCCATGTTTTACAGTGGGGATGAGGTTTTGATGTTGGTGTGCTGTGCCTTTTTTTCTCCACACATAGTGTTGTGTGTTCTTCCCAAACAACTCAATCTTGGTTTCATCTGTCCGCAGTATATTTTGCCAGTAGTGCTGTGGAACATCCAGGTGCTCTTTTGCAAACGTCAAACGTGCTGCAATATTCTTTTTGGACAGCAATGGCTTCCTCCGTGGTGTCCTCCCATGTACTCCATTCTTGTTTAATGTTTTCCTTATTGTAGATGTGTCAACAAAAATGTTAGCATGTGCCAGAGATTTCTGTAGGTCTTTAGCTGACACTCTGGGATTCTTCTTTACCTCATGCAGCATTCTGCGCTGTGCTCTTGCAGTCATTTTTACAGGACGACCACACCTAGGGAGAGTAGCAACAGTGCTAAACTTTCTCCATTTGTAGACAGTCTGTCTTAACGTGGACACATGAACATCAAGACTTTTGGGGATACTTTTGTAAACCTTTCCAGCTTCACGCAAGTCAACAATTCTTGATCGTAGGTCTTCTGAGAGCTTTTTTCTGCGAGGCATGGTTCACATCAGACAGTGCTTCTTGAAACCAGTAAACCCAAAACAGGTGTGTGTTTTTTAAGGGCAGGACAGCTGTCAGCAATACATCCAATATCATCACACTGATTGGAGTCAAGGTCGGCTCACTCCTAGCTCCAGTTAGCTCTGGGAGAAGTCATTAAGCTAGGGACTCACATACTTTTTCCTCCCTGCACTGTGAATGTTTACATGTTATGTGCAAATAAACCATGGCAACATCTAATGTTTGTGTAGTATTATGTTCAGCAGACTGTGTTCTTCTATTGTTGTGACTTAGATGATGTTCAGAGCACATTTTATGCCCAATTCATGCAAAACTCCACGTAATCCCAAGGGGTTCACATTCTTTTTCTTGCAACTGTATCCTGCCTCTCCGAAAGAGAACCTAGCCAGGAATGTGAATGGCCCAGTCATGTGAGGAATGAAGCCAATGTTCAGCAATACCAATTAAATCCTAGTTCTCTTCATGCACCAAAGCTTCCAACTTGCTATTTTGCTTGGCAGACTTCTGGCATTGGTGAACACTTTAATTCATTGACACCTTGTTCACTCGTATTTTACATATTTTTTATTTTTGTACAAATGGTACCAATTCCACTGGTTGTTTGTAATATGGGAACCTTTTTATCACCTGCCATAGCCCTCCCCCATCTTTCCCCATTCCAACCACCAATAAGTACTGACCCGTCTGATCTGTCTACCCCGTTATAATCGAATTCTCCCTCCCCCCCCCTCGGTCCTAGTTTATATATTCCTCCAACCTCCCCATAAACCTCTCCCCCAGCACAGCAGACCCCCTTCCATTTAGGAGCAAACCATCTCTAGCATATAGGTTGCACCCCAATGAAAAGTCAGACCAATGCTCTAGAAACCCAAATCCTTTCCTCTTACACCAGGTCTTCAGCCATGCATTGAGTTCTCTAATCTCCCCCTGTCTTTCCTGAGTAGCGCATGGCACAGGTAATATTTCAGAGAATATCACCTTGGAGGTCCTTCCCTTCAACTTGCAGCCTAGTTCTTCAAATTGATTCTTAAGGAACCTCCACCATCCATGTATTTCTGACATTGGTTCCAACATGGACCAAGACAGCTGGGTCATGCCCAGCCCCTCCCAGTAATTTATCAACCCCTTCCACCACATGCCGAACCCTGGCACCAGGGAGACAGCAAACCATTCGGTCGAGGCAATCCTGGCGACAAATTATTCTATCAGTCCTTCAGATTAAAGATTGTAAGCTCCAAGGATCAGGCCCTCCTATCCTTGTATTGAACTGTATTGTTGCTGTATTGTCTCCCGTTATATTGTAAAGTGCTGAGCAAACTGTTGGCGCCATATAAATCCTGTATAATAATAATAATAATAATAAAATATAAATCCTGTATAATAATAATATATAAAATCCTGTATAATAATAATAATAATATATAAATCCTGTATAATAATTATAATAATAATATAAATCCTGTATAAAAATAATAAGAAGAAGAAGAAGAGGAAGAATAAGAATATATAAATCCTGTATAATAATAATAATTATAGAATCCTCTATTTCCACTGTCTAGGCCTTCCTGCACTTCCCTCACCACCCCTCCCAGATGGTCTGCCCTTCCGGCTGTTAGGGATAGCAGTGACCTCCAGGGCTGCCACCCCTGAGCTTGCCACCCCAACATCTTCACCCAACTTGGCAAATCTGTTTGGGTGCACAAACCCAGGGCCGGCCTTCCTTTTCTGTGAGCCCCTACCACTCCCTCTCGCTACAATAACCCATCTTCCTACCTGATAATCCTGATTAGCCCCTCCACCCTCCACATCAATCCCATTAGCTGCCTGCTTGGAGAGTAGTAGTAGATTATTACTATATTTAATAATAATAATAATAATAATAATAATAATAATAATTGTTGTTATATTCAACTTGTATTTATTATTATTATTATTATTATTATTATTATTATTATTATTATTAGTGGTAGTAGTAGTAATATGGTTCCCTACCAATACTTTCCCTATTATATAATAATAATAAGTAATAATTGGGGAATATTATTAGTAGGGAACTATATTACTACTACTACTACTACTACTAATAATAATAATATATAGAAAGAAATTATTGATGGGGAAATACTGTATATTTGTAGTAGTAATGTTTTATTATTATTTTTTTTTTTTATTAGATAATATACTACATGTTTTCCTCACACTGTGATGTGGTCATTTGATGTTCGCTATTGCCTTCTGTTTGCATCAGTAATAGAAAAGTATTCTGAAAACAAAAGATAATTCTCTTCTTTAAAACGTTCCCTTGGGCCGAGCCTTGGAATACATTCAAAGTTTGCACTCCTTAGTGAGCTCATTTAATTTGTGGATAGAACAAATACAAATGATGACATTAGTTACAATCCGATGAGTAATTATAGGTGTGGACATTAGAGATGACCATCTACACCAGTGGTTCTCAACCTTCCTAATGCCGCACCCCTTAATACAGTTCCTCATGTTGTGGTGACCCCCAACCATAAAATTATTTTCGTTGCTACTTCATAACTGTAATTTGGTGTCAGTGGGAGGAATAGTGTCCCATCACTGATGTCAATGGGAGGAATAGTGCCCCATCATTGGTATCAGTGGGAGGAATAGTGCCCCATCATTGGTGTCAGTGGGAGGAATAGTGCCCCATCATTGGTATCAGTGGTAGGAATAGTGCCCCATCATTGGTGTCAGTGGGAGGAATAGTGCCCCATCATTGGTATCAGTGGGAGGAATTGTGCCCCATCATTGGTGTCAGTGGTAGGAATAGTGCCCCATCATTGGTGTCAGTGGTAGGAATAGTGCCCCATCATTGGTGTCAGGGGGAGGAATAGTGCCCCATCATTGGTGTCAGGGGGAGGAATAGTGCCCCATCATTGGTGTCAGTGGGAGGAATAGTGCCCCATCATTGGTGTCAGTGGGAGGAATAGTGCCCCATCATTGGTGTCAGTGGGGGAATAGTGCCCCATCATTGGTGTCAGTGGGGGGAATAGTGCCTCATCATTGGTGTCAGTGGGGGAATAGTGCCCCATCATTGGTGTCAGTGGGGGAATAGTGCCCCATCACTGGTGTCAGTGGGAGAATAGTGTCCCATCACTGATGTCAGTGGGAGGAAAAGTGCCCCATCACTGGTGTCAGTGGGAGGAATAGTGCCCCAACGTTGGTATCAGGGGGAGGAATAGTGCCCCAACGTTGGTGTCAGTGGGAGGAATAGTCCCCCATCACTGGTGTCAGTGGGAGGAATAGCACCCCCATCACTGGTCAGTGGGGAGGAATAGTGCCCCATCGTTGGTATCAGTGGGAGGAATAGTGCCCCAACGTTGGTGTCAGTGGGAGGAATAGTGCCCCATCGTTGGTATCAGTGGGAGGAATAGCGCCCCTCAGTAGGGGGAGGAATAGTGCCCCATCTAATTTAGGTGTCAGTGGGGGGAGGAATAGTGCCCAACCATCGTTTGGTGTCAGTGGAAGGGGGAATTAGTTCCCCATCATTGGTGTGTCAGTCTGGGGGAGGAATAGTGCCCCATCACCCCTTGGTGTCAGTGGGGGGAGGAATATCGTTGGTTGTCATTACGGGAATAGTGCCCCATCATTGGTGGTCAGTGGGGGGAATTAAGTCCCCATCAATTTGTCAGTGGGGAGAAAATAGTGCCCCATCCTTAGTCTCACATCATTGGTAGTCAGAGGGAGAATAGTGCCCCATCCCCTTGGTGTCAGTGGGGGAGGAATAGTGCCAACCCATCGTTGGTGTCAGTGGGGGAGGAATAGTGCCCCATCGGTTGGTCGTCAGTGGGGGGAATTAGTGCCACCATCGTTGGTGTCGTCAGTGGAGGGACCTGATCAGAGTGGGGGGATAGTGCCCCATCGTTGGGTGTCAGGGGGGAGTGAAATAGTGCCCCATCACTAGGTGTACCAGGGGGGAATAGTGCCCCATCATAGATGTCGTGGGAGGAATAGTGCATTCATTGGTGTCAGTGGAAGGAATAGTGCCCCATCATTGGGTGTCAGGGAGGAATAGTGCCCCATCGTTGGTGTCAGTGGGGGCCCTGCCACCATCACGTTGGTTTCAGTGGGGAGGATAGTGCCCCATCATTGGGGGGGAGGATTAGTCCAGTGGGAGGAATAGTGCCTCCATCAACTGGTGTCAGTGGGAGGAATAGTGTCCCCATCACTGATGTCAGTGGGAGGAAAAGTGTCCCATCACCTGTGGTCCACCAATGTGGGAGGAAAGCCTGGAGAAAAGTGCCCAAACATTGGTGTCAGTGGGAGGAAAAAAGAAAATAGCGCCCCCATTACTGGTGTCAGTGGGAGGAATAGTGCCCCATCGTTGGTATCAGGGGGAGGAATAGTTCCCCAACGTTGGTGTCAGTGGGTGGGGAGGAATAGTGCAGTGGGGGGGGGAATAACATTGGTGTCCAGTGGGGGGGAGGAATAGTTGCCCCATCGTTGGTGTTGGGGGGGGGGGGGGGTGTGGGGAGGAATAGTGCCCCATCGTTGGTGTCCAGTTGGGGGGGAGGGAATAGTGCTCTTCGTTGGTGTCATAAATAGTGCCCCATCGTTGGTGTCAGTGGGGGAGAGGAATAGTGTCCCCATCACTTTGATGTCAGTGGGGGGAAAATGTTGGTGTCGTGGAGGGGAGGAATTTGCCCATCACTGGGAAATGTCATCGTTGGCTTCAGTGGGGGCGAAGTTTCCCCATCGTTTGGTGTCTTGTTTCTGTGCGTCCATTTTTGCCTATTGTCAATGAGCAATAGTCCTTGCCCCCATCATAGGTTGTCAGTGGTGGTAATAGTGCCCAGTGGGTCAGAATGGGGGGAGTGCCCCAGTCATTAGCTGCCATACACCAGGGGGAGAAATGTGCCTTTTGGTGTCTGTGGGAGGAATAGTGCCCCATCTGGTTCTCCTACTGCCCCAGCATTGGTGTCTTGGGAGGAATGCCTCCAGTGGGTTGGGAGGATAGTGCCCCTCTTCATTGGTGTCAGTGGGGGGGGGGAATAGTGCCCCAATCGATTGGGGTCAGTGGGGGGAGGAATAGCGCCCCCATCGTTGGTGTCAGTGGGGAATGGGGTAGGAATAGTGCCCCCATCGTCAGTGGTGTCAGTGGGGGGAGGAATCGAGTTGCCTCATCGTTGGTGTCAGTGGGGGGTACCGGCCATCCATTAGGAATAGTGCCCCATCACTGTTGGGTGTCATGATGTGGGGAGGAATAGTGGCCCATCATTGGTGTTGGGAGTGATGCACCAATTGAGTGGGAGGCAATGCGACGCCCACAACTATCAGTGGGACGTCCCACATTGACAGGAATAGTGCAATTTGAAACCTCGCCTTTGGTGTCAGTGGGGGGGGGGGACCTTGGTGAGCTGACCCTGCTCCAGCCTGGGGGAGAGGAATAGTCGCTGTTGGTGTCTGTGGGGGGAGGAATTCCCTCCTCTTAGTGCCATGGTACCTGCCACGTCCATCATGGGTTTACCGGTCAGCTGATCTTACCTTCTCCCCATGCGGCAGCCATTTAATGCTCCTCCTCTTCACTTTATTAGCTCGCCCCTGTCTTCCTTCTCCGGCTCGCGGGCCCGCTCTACCTTCAACGCAGTGACCTCCTCTCCAAGCTCCACCTCCTCGCCGGTGATTGCCCGCCTGTGTGCCTCTCCTGATTTTTTCTACAGTTCCGGCGGCATCACCGGCGAGGATTGATCCCAGGGGGTGTTGTCCAGATGACAGGGGCGGCATGTCATCCCGCCCACACCTGGAGACGGATAGAGCAGCAGTGTCTCGGTTCACTAAGTCCATCGGAAATATGTGTTTTCCGATGGTCTTAGGGCGTACCCCTGTGAAAGTGGTCGTTCGACACCCCCCAGGTTGAGAACCACTGGATTAGATGAACTCAATAAAATGAAAAATTATATAGATCTTTAGCCACTTTGACCTCTAGATGATTCCCCCCCCCCCCCCCCCACCCCCTTCCTGACCAGGCCTTTTTTTTCAATATGGTGCTACATTAATTTAACTGACAATTGCGCGGTCATGCAACGCTGTACATAAAGAAAAGGCTTATGTCCTTTTTTTTCCACAAATAGAGCTTTCCTTTTGGCCCGTGTGGTATTTGATCACCTCCCTGCCTTCGTGTTTTTTTTACTTTTTGCGCTATATAAACAGAAAAAGACAATGTTGAAAAAAAAAATTGTCTTATTTTGGGCTTTTTGCATGTTTAAAACATGTTCAGTATAAAAAAAAATTAAAAATCAAATTTCTTCATAAATTTCGGCCAAAATGTATTCTGCGCGTTACCATGTCTTTGCTAAAAAAAAATCCCAATACGTGTAAATTAAATTGGTTTACATGACAGTTATAGCGTCTACAAATGGCGGTATAGATACTTTTTTTTTAACTAATAATGGCGGCGATCAGCGACTTATGGCGGCAATCAGCGACTTATGGCGGCAATCAGCGACATATAGTGGGACTGCAGGACTATTTTTTTTATTTTCTGCTATAAAACAAACCCAATTAAAAACCTATTTTAAAAAATCAAAATATTATTATTATTATTATTATAATAATAATAATTATTTGATTTTTTAAAATAGGTTTTTATTGGGTTTGTTTATAGCAGAAATAATATAAAATATATTAATAAATTTAGGCCAAAATGTATTCTGCTACATATTATTGGTAACAAAAATTCCCAAAAAGTGTATATTGAATAGTTAGTATCTACAAATGGCTGGTATATTATACTGGAATTTTTTTTAATATAGAAAACTAGTAATGGCGGCAAATCAGCGACTTATAGCGGGACTGAGATATTGCGTTGGACATTTTTTAAAGTAACTGACACTTTGTGAGAACCAGTGACACCAATACAGTGATCAGAGCTAAAAATACAGTTGGGTCCATATATATTGGGTCACAGGCACAATTGTAGTTTTTTTCAGGTATTTACCAAAACATATTCCAGCTGTAGTTGTAAAATGGATCTGGGCGGACAGTGCGCACTCTCGGGTGTAATTTGAGGGGATATACAGTCAGGTCCATAAATATTGGGACATGGACACAATTCTAACATTTTTGGCTCTATACACCACCACAATGGATTTGAAATGAAACAAACAAGATGTGCTTTAACTGCAGACTGTCAGCTTTAATTTGAGGGTATTTACATCCAAATCAGGTGAACGGTGTAGGAATTACAACAGTTTGCATATGTGCCTCCCACTTGTTAAGGGACCAAAAGTAATGGGACAATTGACTTCTCAGCTGTTCCATGGCCAGGTGTGTGTTATTCCCTCATTATCCCAATTACAATGAGCAGATAAAAGGTCCAGAGTTCATTTCAAGTGTGCTATTTGCATTTGGAATCTGTTGCTGTCAACTCTCAAGATGAGATCCAAAGAGCTGTCACTATCAGTGAAGCAAGCCATCATTAGGCTGAAAAAACAAAACAAACCCATCAGAGAGATAGCAAAAACATTAGACGTGGCCAAAACAACTGTTTGGAACATTCTTAAAAAGAAGGAACGCACCGGTGAGCTCAGCAACACCAAAAGACCCGGAAGACCACGGAAAACAACTGTGGTGGATGACCGAAGAATTCTTTCCCTGGTGAAGAAAACACCCTTCACAACAGTTGGCCAGATCAAGAACACTCTCCAGGAGGTAGGTGTATGTGTGTCAAAGTCAACAATCAAGAGAAGACTTCACCAGAGTGAATACAGAGGGTTCACCACAAGATGGAAACCATTGGTGAGCCTCAAAAACAGGAAGGCCAGATTAGAGTTTGCCAAACGACATCTAAAAAAGCCTTCACAGTTCTGGAACAACATCCTATGGACAGATGAGACCGAGATCAACTTGTACCAGAGTGATGGGAAGAGAAGAGTATGGAGAAGGAAAGGAACTGCTCATGATCCTAAGCATACCACCTCATCAGTGAAGCATGGTGGTGGTAGTGTCACGGCGTGGGCATGTATGGCTGCCAATGGAACTGGTTCTCTTGTATTTATTGATGATGTGACTGCTGACAAAAGCAGCCGGATGGATTCTGAAGTGTTTCGGGAATATTATCTGCTCATATTCAGCCAAATGCTTCACAACTCATTGGACGCTTCACAGTGCAGATGGACAATGACCCAAAGCAGACTGCAAAAAGCAACCAAAGAGTTTTTTTAGGGAAAGAAGTGGAATGTTCTGCAATGGCCAAGTCCATCACCTGACCTGAATCCGATTGAGCATTTCACTTGCTGAAGACAAAACTGAAGGGAAAATGCCCCAAGAACAAGCAGGAACTGAAGACAGTTGCAGTAGAGGCCTGGCAGAGCATCACCAGGGATGAAACCCAGCGTCTGGTGATGTCTATGCGTTCCAGACTTCAGGCTGTAATTGACTGCAAAGGATTTGCAACCAAGTCAGGGGTGGACTGACCACTCATGGGGCCCCCAAGCAATAGGGGATCATGGGGCCCCTGCAGGGGCAGACTGACCACTCATGGGGCCCCCGGGCAATAGGGGATCATGGTGCCCCTGCAGGGGCAGACTGACCACTCATGGGGCCCCTGCAGGGGCAGACTGACAACTCATGGGGCCCCTGCAGGGGCGGACTGACCACTCATGGGGCCCCTGCAGGGGCAGACTGACAACTCATGGGGCCCCTGCAGGGGCAGACTGACAACTCATGGGGCCCCTGCAGGGGCGGACTGACCACTCATGGGGCCCCTGCATGGGTGGACTGACCACTCATGGGGCCCCTGCAGGGGCGGACTGACAACTCATAGGGCCCCCGGGCAATAGGGGATCATGGGCCCCTGCAGGGGCAGACTGACAACTCATGGGGCCCCCTACTGACCCCGGGCCCTCAGCAGTGCCCTAGTTCCCAATGCTCGGTCCCCCCCGCTCCTGACTGTTATTGGTTGTGTTGACATGTATATAATGATAGAAACGCAGAAATCCTCCAGACTCCCCTCCCCCGCCGGCACAGCAGCTTCCAGGAACGACAATTACAATATTCCCTCAGCGAAGACGCAGGAACAGCATGGAAGACGCATGGGGGGGGGGGGGGTTCATGCAGATGCGTTTCTGTAAAGGTTCCTGCACCATTTCCTGGCGTGACCCACGGGCACAGCAGCCCATTCCAATGAACGCAAACGCAGGACGCAGGCCCAGCACTAGTGTGAACCGGGCCTAAGGTGTGCGTTTTTCATAGGTTGTGACTCAAAAAAAAAAGGATCAAAACCACAACGCATGTGCATTATTGATACATTTTTGCTGCGTTTTCAATGCATTTCAGGCCTGGTTCACACCTATGCCGTCTGCGTTTTGTCAGTGTTGCAGTGCGTTTTGAGTTTTTGTTGCTTTTTTTATGCATTTTTGCTTTTTTTTTTTTCATTTTTATGGTTTTTGGACGACTTGTTACTGGGCACATTATACACACCAATAACATGTCAAACGCATGAAAAATGCAACAATGCACA